GCTTGAGGATGCAGAATAAGTGGTTGAAATTAAAGTTTTACCGGTGTCGTTAACTGCACAGACACCAAGGGGTACAAAACTGATTCGAACATACACACTTGTCATCTAAGAATTTGCGTCTGACATAATGTTTGTCTCTGCTATGCCAGCGCGTTGAATGTTGCATGTCACGCCGGCGCCATATTATAGTTCTGCCACAAAAGCTGGAAAGCATCCACACTAACACCACTGTATTGAAACTAGTGAAAAAATCTTTGGTAGCTAGGAGTGTGTTGTTATTTACAGATTGAGATTTGTCACTGTGTGGTCCAAAAATTTTCCTTTTCACAAATGAATCCTGCAGCCTATTTCATCTTTCTTCATGATATAAGCAGTGCAAGTGTTTCGCTCATTTTGTCATTCTAAGCTGAGATTGATATTCTGACAGTACTAACTTTGCTGTTTGGCTGTAGTCATGCAAAACTGAAATTTGAGCTCTTTTACAAGCATAATTTTGAGATGCACATACTTCCGCCGAAAATAACAAAGTACTATCGCTGTATAAGAATGCAACGAAGGCCGTATCCTCTGGAAATAATCACGTTTGATTCACAGATGGAACGAAAGCGTAACCCTATAATGGGGAATTACAGAACATGTTACGCTTAATGTTATAGAAATCACGAGTGCATTGACAGTCTCTGTACTGAAGGAGGTTTGCAACTTAGACACCAACATATCTGTTGGTGATAGTAACAGCATCTATCGAAATTCATTGCATATTTCTGTGAATGACGCGAACCACAGGGGGCGTGGCTTTCGACAGGTTGCTTGAAATGACGTTTCACGTTACGTCCACAGTTAACTGTATTATTTAACTTGAAGGCGACTGGAGGAAAGCAGAATATACACTTATCAAATAGTGAACAATGATTACAAGGTGGTAAATATTTATGATAGTGTTCCTAATCGTTATTGGCAGCACCAATGGGAGCTGTAATACCGACCCACCAAAAAATCGCTTTTTGAGCGGTCTGAGGTAGCACACTCAACTTTTGTCCAAGATTAACAAATTTAGACCCCGCATTTGTCAAATCTCAGCCAAAGCGTGCAATCCTTAATGCGTAATTAATCACCGTTATAATGGAATAACACTCCAGTTTATGTCAGTTCAACAGCGGTTGTAATGATCCCGCTACTGCCACCAAACTTTCTATGGGTGTTTTCCCCTGTGCAAATAATCAGATGTTGCCTTTTGGAGCTTATCACATGGATTACAACAAAGAAAGTTATTAGGAGGGAAACCAATTAATTTGAGTTTGATTGGGCGCTCGTAGGCTATCGAAATGTCGATCATTGAAAGCGGTTTCTTTTTTGGAACAACCCCTTATATACAGATCTCCATGCACAACAGTCGAAAATGTGACAAGGTATGAACTGTCGTTTTCGATAAAGTTAGGTGACAACCAGCAGATTTATTGCTGAGCAACGTTTCGCTTTTGACACGAAAGCTTCGTCGGGCCAAGTGACCAGGTTTTGAGGTTGGCCACGATTTATGGCGGAAGGATAACCGATTAGCGAAGTCAAGCTAAATCTTTGTTGGGTGTCAGCTGGGGGATTTTAGTGTGTTGAAATTGTTGAACTACATAATCAGATTTATATGTTGGTAAATTGTGTTTAAGATAAGCTAACGATTAAAACGTAGCTTGCGATTAGATCCTGAATGTAGTGAAATTGTGTTGAACCTGATTTGCACATTATGAGCTGCGTTGTTGGATATTTGGCATCTCCGACCGGCGGCGATATGAGGATAGTTTTGTACCGTATTTTTCTCTGTTACGGCATGTTGCGCTCAGGTGTTCTGAAACAGTCAGGTGTATTCAGATGTGCCTTGAAGGTAGTCCTTTTTTGAACACACAACAGCGGGACGTACTGTTTGCTAAACAAATTATTTTTTGGGAAATTATCAATCCCATGCATGAAATTTGCCCAACCCTCCCCAGGTAAGATAAAACAACATTCGCAGTATTATAACTCCAGTTTGCCAGTTCTTGGATTTCAATGTACTGCAGAATTTTAAGGAGGGCTATATGAACAGTTCAGCAGGTTAAGCCAGATGGACTCGTTTAATTCACCTGACATGCTGTCCCATTTTCGCTACGGCAAACGCATTTGAAAATGTTTGAAGCCTGGTTGGACAGAATTTAGAAGTATACCTATTGGATGAAAAACACGGACGCTGTATGAGCTTGTGCACAAGATGCTACAAGGAACACGGGCCCCAAAATGACTGCGATCATGTCTCGACATTTTTCGTTACCTTTCATTTTGGAATAAAAGTGAACTGATTATTATTTCAGTTCGAGCTTTGGAACAGCTACACAATATGTACCGGCAGACAATCCATTGGTATCATTACTTTAAAGAAACAGCTGTTCATTAATCATCAGAAAATTTGAGCTTTACCTGGTTTAGATTTCTAATATATTGCAAAAAGAAGAAGCCGCATTCAGCATCAAGAATTGTTGACCATTTGGAAGTAAATTATCCCAGTGGTAAACTAGTAAACTGGAATTATTACATGGAAAACGCAGTATGGTTCATGCCAGTCTACCGAAGAATAAAAATCTAATCTTTTATGAATTTTTGGATGAAGACTTATTGCCCGTCCGCAATTCTTGAAGGCATTTTCAAAGTGCTTTCCACATATTAACAGAACACTTCTAAACGAGGAAAAGGCACGTAACCATGACTGCCATTATTGATTTGTCCATTGGTTTTGTCACACAGTCGTTTGTTAGCACTCCCTTCTCGCATAAGCACTTAATGCGAGACTTTGTTTTTCCAGATGATCAAATCAGTTGTATAAGTGTTCATATAATCAAAGGGACATCTTTCAATAAAAAACCTAGTAATTGTGAACACGTGTCCTCGTAAGCAGCTGAGTTAGCATCATGTTTGACAATGCTGGCTATAGCTTTTTCACGGGCTTCAGAGCTTGGAGGATTTTAGACAATCATTGCAAATTCAAAGCGATCTATACGGCAGTTTTTTTGGACTATAAGCATGCTGTAGCCGGTTGGTCCAGTATAGTTTGTCAGCATAATTGCTGTAGCACAGCACAACTTGCCTAGGCAAAATAGGTAGTTCTGCGGGACCGAGGAAGCAATTGTGCCTTTCGAGCCACTGAGAGACGCGGATGCTGGACCAGAAATTTTGCATTAAATGGCCCGGAATCAGTGAGGCGTCAACTGTTGCAACAAACACATGTGATCGCGGTACTGACGCACCTCCAGAGCACTGGAATATATTTATCAAATATGTCAGTCGTGTTCTGATCAACGTTGAGCAGCAGCAGGTTGAATGTCAAGGGTAGTAATAAAACTTTGCGAAGGATCCAAACAGTAATAGATCCTCGCGGGAAACTCGCGCCATATGAACTCTATTTGCAAGTGTCGAAATTCACGGTCGAGCACATGCCTGGGAAGATTGGCCACTTGGTGGAGTGGCTGTCAGTGTCAGCGTCTGATGATGAGGTCCACAGGATCACGATTTGTTTTGAAGTCATAACTGCTAAATCAGATCTCAAAAAATTGATGCATTTCCACCGCACGATCTTGTGGTATTGGGAATTGTGGTCACTTTATTAGATGTAAGGAGTATTGAGAACGGAGATGGAGAAAAATTATTGAAAACGTTTCAGAGTCACTTCGATAGGCCGAGTATGATTGCAGTTGGAATACTTTCCTAGATTGCCATCTGTGCTGCTTTTGATTTGCCAGTGATACCTTTCGTTCTGGGACGGACGCTGGTGGTATAAATCACGAAATGGCGCAAACTTCGCGCACAAGCCTTATGAATTACTTCAACCTTGGTCCTGCTAGCCTGGTATGAGGTGCAAGGAATCCTGTGGGCGGTGTCAAATACTGATAGGGAATACGGTCGAGGCACGGTGAGCAAAAATCAAGTATGTCGTGATAATGAAAAAAAATACTGCAGAAGTTTCCTTAGCGGAAAAGTAACGTTATCTTGCGTCACCCACCTGAGTTCAAGCCTACTAAAATATATTTCAGCTTTTATAGCCTACGGAATTAATCAATGTATTCGATCATACGTTCAGCTTCGGAGTATTTTGATTATAGTGGTTGAAAGCACCCTACGTGTCTTGCCCCTCCCAAGTTTGTCTCCGCCTATGCTGTAAATTTGGTGGAGGAAGTCCCTTAGCACTGAAATACTTCGGCATGGCGGAGCAGTGTTGAGCATATGCAGAATTCTGTCTCCATGTGCCGCCCATGTGCCAGGTCATGGAAGCATGGCGCGTGGAGGGTAAAAATTGTTTTCATTATGGCAGTCTTCCATCAGTGGAGCCGCCATTTCCATTGTGCACTAGCCAAAAGCTTTTCTGGGGACTCATGTTTCTCTACGACCTCTAGGAACGGTCTGAACGTTGGGTTATCGCAGGAAACAAGTAACGTAAACCCCAACTCACAACGCTCTAAGCATTTCACTGCCTATTTACCGCGTCAGAATAAAGACAGAGATTGCGGGCCATGTAAACACCATCTTGAATTTTCGGTATACGAGTCCAATGGAGCGCCGTAAGTTTTCTGCATCCCTTCCAACGAAACATCATCGGTTTCCCACACAATTTTGCATAGTATTTCATAACGCAATGAGTGGCCACCCGATAGATTTTCTTTGAGCATTTTTATTTACATGGTGGGGAGCAACAATGCTGTCAATATCTGGCAACTACTACTTTGATAACGGTCTGATTGGACGAATAGATATTTATTTTATCTTCTTTGGCAACCCCAGTACCAGAGAGGCAACATAATGTCAGACCAAAAGTTAAATTTTGCAATTTTTACCAGGCTACGTGACTTTGTTTTGTCACAACGCACTTTTAGCGGAAGGTGACACGCAGGCGTACTTCCAAAAACAGCCATGCGCTTTCTACAAGGTATCTGGAAAATTGTCAACAACTCTGAATATTTCGCTTTTCTCCAACTTGTATTTAGATCAAAAGAAGAAAAGTCTTTTTCCTTTTAAGATTCAAGATACAAATCAACCTGCATGTGTAAAAAAGCAAGATCTCATTATCATGTTTTATAGAAAGGTGAGTTGCTACTTTTGCTGGTCCGATATCCAATGCTCAATTTTGTAACTTACCTTCTTGAAGAAAAACGGTATGGCACATTGCTGGCGTGTATCACAAGAGGGTTAGCTAATTTCCTCTGAACGCACCAGTGAGCGGCATGCACGAATGCTATATATGGACATTTGTAGACAGTTACGAAGCTCAAACTGCACATTATTTCTCCCTCGAGAATGGATAAGAATCTCTGATAGTTCAAACGATCTCCGTAGATAATGCTAACGAAAGTGACAAATAAAGGCATGCAAAAAGAAATGTGAAAAAATATATTGCGGGGTTCCTTGGTGGCGGAAACTACTAGCTTTTCACACTTCACAATGCATCCAGCACAAACAAGGCGATCAAATCATACTGGGCTATATCATTTGCTAAGTATATCGGATCCACGGTTTTGTCAAAGAAACGGTGATAAGATATAGAAAAAGCTTTCGTGGCAAAAGAAAATTGCGCTCCGCGTCTCGGTCACTTTCCTATTCACTTCTCCACCATTTCACATTTTCTGTGAAATTATCACACAAATCAGTCACTTTTGCAGCAAATGTCTTGATGTTCCTTTGTATATGACGTGACAGTTTTGAAGATCCTAAACTTGTGGCGCCACTCCACTTCGCCTAGTAAATATCCGGCTGGTTTGAGACTGCTGCAATCTCAAGCGCGGATTAGTTAATTTGTTTCAGATGAGCACCAATACTTTCAATGAGGCCTATTACACTTGGTAGTTATGGCTATTCGCGGACACAACCAGCCCTTAAAATGGTCTGATTAGAAAACAAATTGGTCTAACTATTGAACAGGCGTGAAAATGTGCATTCTGGAATAGCGAGTTTACTTATGTGTTCATCTAATTCAGAAGCTGTCCCTGTTATGGTCACCTACGTGTACATCTTTTATTACGTAAATTTCGAGAATACACCTATGAGTAATGTGCAGCAGGCTTGTTGAGATTCTCCTGTGCCCACGGCGTTTTGAGTTTATTAGATAGCGTCATCGTTTTATTCTCGAAAAAACGCCGTGAGATTTTCGTGCCAAAATGCGCAGTAATCCAGACGGGTGTTTCACACACATTCTCACCATTTGACCAAAGAGCAAAGTGTAGGTAAAGAATGTCCTAAGGTAAACTTATGAAGCTGTCAAATATATGTTGGTTTCTATGGTAGAAAAAAGCAAATTCCACAAACATCCGATGCTTTATTGATAAGGCCTGACTAATTTTTCAACTCACCCCGAAAATCAATATAATTCGTGGGCCATGCTAAATAATAAGCGGAATATGGACGATTTAGGCAGCCAAATAACCACTTGTTGTTGGCGTTTTAAAAAGAAATTTCGAAATTTTGCATTTAACTGGATAAGGGTGTCAAATCCTCTCACTTTATCCAGGTTATTCAAATTCACGTTAGCGATGTTAAGTGTTTTATGTGTGAATAAGAATCAGCATCAGCTTTGGTATATAATTAAAAAACTCACCGGCGCACAGCTCATAGGCAACTCTCCAGCAGTCCACTATGAACAGTTGTTAAAATGCAAGCAAAATGTTTCCGGTGAACCAACAAGCTTCAACAACCGGCGACATCCACTCCCTTTAACCAAGCTCCGTCCTGTTTCTGCATCAGCGGACACAATAAACAGTGGTCACCAGTGTTTTTGAATATTATGCGAAAGATTGTTTGAACAAGTGTGAACGTTTTAGGAATCAATGAATCCCAAAATGTGAAACTTGGACTTATATGTTGCCTGGTGTTCTGTGCATTACATGCCGATTCTATATATACAGCCGTCAATATTTTGTTGAAAAACCCGTCAGGCTCAAAATGTCATAGATTGATATGCTCGCTCGTTTCTCCAGTAGACCCTACTATGGGAAGCCAGGAGTCATTTACTAGCTTTTTCATTTCCATCAGCAACGCTCGCGATTGGACGTTTACGGAACTAAAATGAAAAGCACTGAACTACTAAATGCAAGCGTAAACTCAAATGGTTTGTTGGGATTCCCCGTGCAAGAAACTTGCATTCTGGCGGGAAGATAATCACGTAGCACCTCGCGGGTGACCATATCCTGGACGTTCAAATCGCAGCTACACCGACGAGACAAAGCAAGTAATTTAAATACTTGTTCAGTCATACAATGCATATGCCGATAAAATTATGGTCGCTCGGAAATACATCCAATTGGATGTCTGTAATGTACCAGTATTACGTGCGGTGTATCCAGGATGCAAATGCAACACAGTGTTTAGGAATCCGACAGAATCAAAAAAGTTCCATAGTCGTGATTTGTTCAGAGAATATCCATGAACCATGGACCTATGAGCGATTGAAATTTCATTAAGTGCTTTCCACAAATCAATCCGTGTAACTTTGACTTGCAGTCACCGAATGTTACGCAATCCTTGGCGGAAGGTGGAACCGAAACTTCTGAAAATATTTGTCCAGGCATCGATGCTTTATAATTGTTTTTCTGCCGACAAATGTATATGGTACCAAGGAATAAAAACGGACTGTAGGACTGATGCTATACCCAAAGTTCAACCTACATTTTGCGCGAGCATTGTGTAGGTGCAGGTCTAAAATGGGAATGAAATTTTTATATCACCATATATCTAGGTAATAGTACAGAGTGATATACATATATAATGCAGTGGCTAGGTGTTCATTCCTGGCCTCCTAAAATGTACAAAAATGCCCTGATAAAGGCACGCAGTGTATTGCACAGAAAAGGAAATGAAATGATATTTATCCTTCCATTAATTTAAGCATTGAAATCTTGTAATGAAGCTAATCTGACGTACTACCTGAAATACCCAATATTTCACATGTGTACATTGTGGACAGACACGCCATTATTAATACAAAATTTGAACATTGTTCCTGACCTTTGCAGCGTTGCTTTTCCTCTGCACTGCACATGACTGTGAAAACAACCAGAGATATATTCATATCCAACAAGTTTTATTCTTTGAAATCAGCTAAAATAATCAATCAAATACGTCTGCCGTATTCTTTAAAACTTACCAGTACACAGATAAGTATCTGGTAACGACAGTTGCGTTATTTTTCCGGCAAAATATCTGTTTATGGTAATCAAATTATGTATGTAAAACCAGGGGACCGAACAGTCCCTTAGGCAAAATGTTTGAGTGATACGAATTCCACAGTCTGAAAATTCCGTAATATGGCCTTTTCTCACAAATCATCTGTCTGATGGGTGTCCACACTTTCCGAATTGTCGATCGAAATAAGTTTCAAAAATTAACTTTGTTCTCTATTCAGGTTCTTCGTTTTAAGATCGAAATTTTATTAGAGGCTTTCCAGAGCTCCACGTCAACATGCACACAACAGGAATGGTCATTTTGGAGATCGGCGTAATAGGTTTTTCTTTAGATTCAGAGAAAAAAATTTCCATTCCGCTCTCGAAAATCACATATTCCAATCGTTCTGTGAAGGGTCTAAGTGGTTTGCTGAAAACTGGTGTGTTGCCGATTGTTACACAACTACTGTGGTACAATTATTGCTGAGTCTGAAATCACAAAACTGATTTTCATGCACTTACCAACTGGTCCGCAGGCCTCTGTTTACATGAATGCAAAAAGGCATTTGAACTATCAAAAGAGCACAGGCTAGGTTGTCTTGATTTCTTTGAAAATGATAACTAATGCCACAAGTTTTTCAAAACCATTCTTTCGTAGCTATTCATTTATGTAGATCGCTGTGCTGCCTTCCAGGGTGTACTATCATACAGCACAACACATTGCAATCAGTAGCCATAATCGTGCTCATAAGCGCTCGTAAAACCTGGTTGTCAATTGTTTTGTAAAGGTTTGTTTTTCGAATCAATTACATTAGAACAGAATCAAAATAAGCATCTCTATATTGTTATACATCAGTTTGTATTGAGATACATGCACAAGTGCTAGTGTGACACGGTTTTCTTACCCATACAATCGCGGTATCTTTGCAACTGTCTTGCTAAAGCTTCACTCACTAAAACAATGGGGGTTCGGCAATTAATTGATCACCAAAATAAAAGATGTGCAGCATACTGTTGAACACTTACATAGAATTGTTGCAACAATGTTGACAAACCAGATCATCATGCGTTCAAGGTGTACGTATACAGCAAGGCGAGGTGCTTTGACAAAATTCTACGCGTTATCATTTTTATATTTGAAGTTGACCTTGAAACCTTTAATCAACAAATGGTTCCGTTTCATATGCGGTGAACATCGTTCAATTTGTTTATTCGTTAACACAAGAGAGCTGACAAACTGTAAAATGTTTGTGGAGAACGTAGCCTTTATTTTTTCTATTAAATAAGTTTAGTGTTTCAGAAACTTCCCAGCGATTCCACGGGGTATTTTCGGTAATAAATCCGATGAGATCCGGATTACTGCAAAATAATCAGCCCGATAACATACTATTAAATTATTCTTTTTTGTTCATTTAAATATGAACAAATTAGGCATGACGGTAGCTCCACTCAATCGACCAGAAGTGCGAAACGTACAAGGTCATATATTGCGCATGGAAAACCTGGATTCAAAAAGGCTGTTTTAATTTCGCAAAATCCCATGTACTTGGAACATCACGATCGACGTATCCCCGTTTGGCACGGTAGTATTCTTGTTGCGGAGTTTGAGAAGGGAATACACTCATTAACACTCAGCTGGTGTCAACGATTACGTAGCCAAATAAGAAAGATATTATACGAAAACTATGTAATGCGTAAGCATACCTGTTGTTGGATAAATCTAGTGAACAGAATGTCCCATGAATAGAATTTTCCACTTCTAAATCGTTAGCAAGTACAGTAAATGTATTACGTTGCGATTAAGAAAATGATGGACGAAAATGTACTGACTGCGTCATCAGCGCCGTGCTACATCTTTTTAAACGATGTCTCAGCCATAGGCTGAAATTTCAGTGTGGCATGTAACTTTCCCATTTTCTTTCGTGTGAAAAAT